AGGGAAGCAATAGTTCAGAGGATGAGTGAAAATTTCCTGGTTTCAAGCAATCAGATTGTTCACAACTGAACCCCAATCAATAGCTTGGGGCACATGAAACTGAGTTCACTTATGCAGAAGAGAGCTGCAAAGAGCCTAGCAGAGTTTTAGACTCCCTTTAAATAGAATGGCGTTCAGGACAAGGTGAAATCTCCATGAGATACTAGGATGCTATATGGGAGAATTGGGAAGGGAGCCCCAGTCACACTTTGAGGAATGGAAGAAAAGTATGACTCAGTGGGCACATTGGTCAGTGTTTGTTCACACCAGACATTCCGGAGCCAAGTTCTGTGAAAGCGAGGTTGATACCATTTAATGAGCTGAGGACGCTGCCCTTACAGGATGAGCTGAAGTCTCAGTGGGAAAACCAAATATGGAGTCAGATTGATGTATACAATTTTGGTAGACAGCTTAATCAGGAGATAAGAGTATAAAATGAAGACAGAAAAACTTGAATTTGAATCCTACTCTGCCACTTACTAGCTATGTATCTTTGAGCATGGGTCTTAACCTCTAATCATCAAAATCTTTATGAAAAATGTACCTATGTCTGTGACAACTAAGTATATTGATGAATATGAAAGTGCCAAGTACAATTCTTCACACAGAGTACATGCTCAGTAAATGATATTTTTCCTCCCTTACAGAACCAACTGGATATTATTCAGTCTCAGTGTTCCATTTCCTATTGCTGATGATATGTCTACTGTCCTCACTCAGTAAAAATACTTCAAAGTGTTTTTTCTATATTAATAACTTCCTCAGCAGGACATTTCCATCCCTTTGCCTCATGTTATGTGTGGCAGAGAGAAAAAGAAATTCATTCAGAATCACAAAGAAGAACCCCAGTGTCACCAAACCACAGCCTTGAAGTTCAGCAAAGAGCTGACTCTTCAAAGATTAATACAATACACTCCCACTGCTTGTCCCAACTGTCATCCAGTGTGTTTTTTAATTCGCTCTCTTCCTGTGCTCAGATGAATATGATTTAATCTCCAAAGCATGCATGATGAGCACATTACTATTTCCTCCTCCCCAAAATGGGATGTTACAATGTGAGGCCCCATTCCTGAGCTGGATAGAGAGGAAGAGGTCATGTGTCCAGTCTCCATACAGGCATTCATAGTTTCATTTTACACAGAGAACATCTCTGTTTCACAGCTATGGAGAGCATTGCTTATCTTGGCAACCTTCTCACAAATGGAAAACACTGGACACAGATAAGTCCAGCACACTGTGGATGACTCAATGCAATTCAGTCAGTAATAATCATCACCACTTAGTGCTATCCAAGGGTGGACCAAATGAATCACCTTTGTACCCAGAGATGACAATATTTTGGTTGGTGTTATAATTTAGAGAAACCACATATTACCATAAAATTATGATTATGGGATTACATAATTACTATGAAAATGATTCATCAATCAATTATCATGTATTTATTTCAACTTGTGTCCAGTAGTATGTCAGAGCTTTAGGGTTTATAAATGAAGTACAATTAAAACTAATGGATATGGTCCTGATTGGGTTGCTCAGTAGTCTGAGTTCCTGAATGATTATATGGAAAAAAGCTGCACTCTCATCTAAATTAGACTACCATGTGATTGAGAAATAAACATTTATTGTGTTAAGCACATACTTTTTTGTGTTTGTTCCAATATTAGTGCTACTCTAACTAATATAGGTTTTATTACTTTAAATGACGCAGGGAACAATAGACAAAGTCCAAGATTGACTCAATAGAGAGAATCTATAAGGAATACCCACTGCATAAACCTGGAACCCCAAAATGTTATTCCCTTGACATTAAGGCAAACTTGGAAGAAGGAAAGTAGCTTATCTTGAAATGTGGTACTGAATAGCAATAGGGAAGGAATGGGAGAGTCGTTTCCCCTTAGAATTAATTATGACAAGCATACCCATCCAGCCTATATTCGCAGTGAGTGGTCTGAAAAACCACAAGCTAAGAATGTACTTTAAAGTGAATTCCAGCTGGTAATGCTCCCAGAAGTAATTGCAAGTTCTCTCTGGAGAAAACTCCCTTCATGCCAAGAAAGGTGAACCCACAGTCAAAAATCATAAAACACACAAAGAAATAAAGCACTATATGCAAGAGCCAATACAAAGAACATATAGTAGAATAAGACTCATAGCTATTATAATTTCCAAGCCAAATCAGAAAACCATTGTAATCTAATATTGTAGAGAAATACTCTTCCATATGTCTCTCTTATTCATGCATGTCTTGTTTTGTGTGCCAAAAAAAATCAAGGCCTGGCTGATCTTTACCGAGACCATTTTTCAGGCCTGTGTTTGCAACAGGTAACCTTAAACTTTAAGGTTTAAAGGATAAGATAACGTCTCTCACTAGGAGAAAATATAGCCTTGTTTACTGTCTACTATAAACTGGCAAGTTCCCCAAGATCTGTGACCCTCCCATATGCAGGTAGCTCTCTGTGTCACTCCTATAGAAATTAGATTATAGGGAACCAAAACAAACATGTTGACACTCTGGCTACTGCTTCTTCAGTGATAATAAAGTTGTTGTTTTTTTGTCTCTGATTCAAGAGTCTCATGTCTTCTTTCGGCATATACACAACTGTGGCAAGCTAACTTGCAACTAGCATAAAATCTCAGACCCTTTGTAGTTCTTGACAGGCTTAAAAATTAAAAATATGAATAGAAAGCAGGAGGAAAAAAGTACTAGAAAATTTTGAAAGAAAACAGAACTTCTAGAAGTAAAAACATACAATTGAGATTTAAGTCTCATTGGTTGAGTTAAAGGGCATTTAGATATAATTGACAAGATAGTAGTGAATTGGAAGACGCATCTAAATTTCATCAAAATGCAACACAGATAGGAAATAAAGATAATAATTTTGAAAGAGAATTTAAGGAATATGATCAAAATGTGAGAAAGGCAAACATAAATATTGTTGGAATTACAAAAGAAAAATAAAGCAAAAGTAATTATTTGAAAAGATTACAGAGATGTTTCCAAACTTATGAAAAATGCCAACCAATATATAATATTTGGAAGGCTTCATGAATTTCAAGAGGTTAAATAAAAGGAAATTCACACCTAAACACAGAAGAATAAAAGTGCAAAACAGCAAAATGGTGGAGATATAAATAGAGATAAGTGGCATTATATCCAATTAAATAAAATTAGACTTCAGCTAATTTACCACAGAAACAGTGGAAGGCAGAGAAAAATGTAATATTTTCAATGTACTGAAAGGAAGTGATCTAGAATTCTATATATATGTATACTATTATTGTAAAAGGTTACTTGAAATAATGTCATTTTCAAACAAACAAACAAACAAAGACTTCTGCTATAGTTAGAACCTTAGAAAAGTAAATTCTACAGGAAAAAGAAAAATGATCTGAGATGAAAATGAAATGACAAAAATAAATGAGCAAAAAAGTTAGATTCTATTTTATACCAACTAGGTTAGAAAAGTTAAGAAATCTGACAATTTCAAAAGTTGACAAGGATGTGGAATAGGGAAAACTTTGTGCACTGCTAGTGGGAGTGTAAAAACAATATTGCAATAACTTATAAAATAGAACTTGTACATACTCAACTCAAAAATTATCTAATAAATATTAAACTAGAAAAATTCTAACACATGGAACACTCTTACACTGGGGCACAAGACATGTATAAATATGTTCATAGTGGCATTCTTTATAATGACCAAAAAACTGAAAATAAATGACGTGTCCATCAACATAACAATGAATAAATAAATCATGATATTGCCACATAATGGTATATTACTCAACAGTGAGAATTAATAAATTACTACTATATATATATATATGCCACTCAGTTGCTAGATGCCAGGCTGATGACTGTCAAGTACAACTGCAGCAGCACGAGCTACCCCCCCTAGGTGCCGCCTTAGGGGCAGGTGGTAGGCACAGCGGGCCAGGATGAGCAGGAGTGGCATAGCACCCAGCCCAGGCTCAGGCTCCTCCCTGGCTGTCTGCCGCTTCACACACTACTTCATGCTGTGCGGGACTGACAATGTGGACAGCGGGCTGGAGCCCAAGGAGCTGGCAGATAAGGCCGGGCTGTGGCAACACAAGGGTCCACTGATCCCTGCAGGCCAGGTCAAGAGATCCCACCAGTGCATGAATCCATGCAGTAGGCCTCTAGTACATATTAATGTCGCTGAATCTTAAAACCTTAGAAACATGTTAAGTTAAAAAAAAAAAAAAAAAAAAGTGAGATTTGAACTCTAAATACAAGTACTGTGAGGACTTGGTATAATGATTTCTCATGGCAGCATCCTTCTCTCTTTACAGAAGAGAAAAACATGTGACTAAACTTGGCAGTAAGCCTCTTTCCCCCATGGCTTTGTATCTTGAGCAGAGAAATGTGAGAATGAGGAGAGAGTGGGAAGCCCTTTGAAATTTATACCAGGAGCAGTGCCCTGAGCAGTTCCTACTGACTTGGTTCCTGACCTATTTCTAAGTCTACTTTTCCAAACAACTCATCAATTCTGTGAGCCTCCCACCATCCTCCAATGATTTCCCATCTCTTGTAAATTAGTCAGAGTTCATATCTGTTGCTTGCAACCAAAGAGCCCTGATTGCGTAGCTGTCAAACAATAAATTTATATACTTCTGCTTGTTATGATTGATCCTTCATTATCAACTTTCTCCCCATGATTTTATTTCCCAATTAGATTTGGTAGGATTGTACAAGAAGAATGTGTACGTGTACATTTTAAGTTTAAGTGCTATCTCTGTTGGCTGAGTCCCTGTGGAGGCATTAATGTCCCAGGGACATAACCCTGACTCACTGTTCTCCAGTCACCAAGTGCCTGTGGCCTCACATAATAATTTCCCAAGCTGGCCTGTGGTGCTGGCTACACTCAGAATTGTGGTCTCAAGGGGAAGAACATCCATCATTGCACCACCTGTGTTATTGAGAGCTGTCTTACCTCCTCTGTCTTTAAAACTTCCCATATTCGAGCATGATCTTCCTCCAGCCAGTGCCCTGTGCCTTCTGCCTTGGTGGGAAGTTTGAATTTAGACACCACTTGAGTAGGCTCTCCCACAGGTTTCCCCTCCATCTTGAAAGAGCCAGGCGGGAGGCATTACGGACCTGTGTGGAAGAACAAAGTGTGATCGAGGTTAAAACATTAAGTAACGTCAAAGGAGATAGAGAAGCAAATTATCATGCTTGATTTGTGAACGATGAGACCGCTGGTGACACTATCACAAAAGCATCAACTTTTAAGGCCACTTTTTACATTTTAAAAATTTATTCTTGGTATTTTAACACAGGCTTCTGGAGGGAGATACGCATCTTGCAATGAATAAAAGTGATATACTAGAAAACGTTAAAGCAAAGTAAAAAGCATCCTCAGCTTGGCCCTTGGCCCTGGCCCCTCCGGAGGAGAGATGGAAATGGGGGGCTGTAAGATGAGCCCTAGTGATGCTCCCACATGCAGTGCGTGTGCAAGAAGCACTGGCTGTGGTATCAGACGATTGCACACTTGTTTATACGAGGCTGCAGGCTGGACATATGCAAATAATTCCGTAGTTTGAATCTTAACCTTAAGAAGCTTAGTGTCAAGGGGCAGAGAGGGTTGTATACAAGTAATCGCTGTACAGAGTGTACAGGATAGTGTGACAATAACCACATTTCCTAACGGAAAATGGAAGCCCAGAGGAAGGTTCTCTTCTATGTTTGTTGGCTGTGTTACTTTCTTGAGCTCCAGTTTCATTAGCAGTTACTATAAAAAGAATATTTTTAAATTGATAGCTATTCTATAAAGTCTACTCCTTGATATCTTTCTATCTCCCATTGGCTTATTCAGAATCACATCATGCCTGCTCAGCACCATTCTGTCTAAAGAAATCTTCTGCCCTCCATTCAAGTCCCCCTGAATCTGCCCTTCTCAGGGTAACTTTTCTAAAAAGAAAAATCTAGTGATGATGTTCCACCTACCTGAAACTTTTCCCAGAGAATGAAATCCACACACCTTACTGTGCCATCCAAAGCCCTTTGTGTCTTCCTTCCTCCACCTGCCTTCTCTCACCGCCCTCCTGCCTTCTCAGCCACTCTGGCTCAGCCACTTGAAAGTACTTATGGACCTCAAATATATCCAGTACCTTTTGTCTCTGTTGGCGATGCTTCCTCTCCACCCACCCCCAAGAGAATGAAGACTCCTCCTTCGTTAATCTCTGTGTATACTCTGGACAGATTTCCATCGTGTTACCTACAAGACTTCATTATATTTATTTGCTTTCAATTCTATTTCTACCTTCTGGCCTTTTAAGCATCTTGGTGTCATATAATAGGATAAGTACTAAACAAATGTTGGATGAATTGGTTAATTCAGTCAATCATGAGAATCCAGATCTAATATATTCAGGTAACAGATGGATAAGTCAAGTTACCTCTTTAACTTTGTCATTGGCTGTAAGCCCTTTATAAGAAAGGGCCAAGTCTAACATTCATTGTACACTCCTGGGCAGCTAGCACTGCGAGCTGCAGTTGCTCATTAGTTAACAACAGACTAGGTTTCACAGACACGTCCTCAAGGAATGGAGCATGTCTGCAAAAAGCAGGTCCTCACATACCCAACTGCCTAAATAAAAGCAAGTGGAAATCAACACTGATAAGTGGGCAGGGTAAGTTGGAGGATTTGAGAAAGGGCCTTTTGCTGTGGACCTACTTTGCTGCTTCCCTTTTCATCCATAAGCCACGGGGAGCAAGCCGTCCGCCTGCAGAAAGCAGTGATGAGGAAGCTGCTAACCCAAACGGCTTACAGTTACTGAACAAGCTGGAGCCCTTCAGACACTCCCACTAGGAACCAGGAAACAGGACCTTTATAATTAATGAACAAAGCTGTTCTGAGTGGACATACTAATAAATGATGCTGACACATACATGCAAGGAAATAAACAAAGCAGAGTCATGCAGAGATTTCAGTCCAAAAAGGAAACTCAAATAAACAGGCAAAAAATGGAAACAGGCCAGATTAGTAGGAAAGGAAATTCCATTGTTGTTATTGGAGATAACACTGTAAACAACAAATAATAAATCAAAACAAAATGGGAAAACTACATGAAATGGTTTTGGCTGTGTCCTTTGTATATCATGGAAACGTAACAGGATAAAATACACAAACTACAAGATCTCAGGGTGAACAATGGGACATCTTTAAGCCTAATGTGTTCCAGCGATCCCACACCCTCACTGGTGTCTGCCCACAGCTGCTTTCTCATCTCCGCGGCGTGGGTGAAAGTTGGCAACTTTTCAGTGTTGGGCTGAACTCTACTATGTACAGACTTCCCCCAGATCACTCCTTGCCTTGCTTGGGAAGAAGATGCAATTTGGAGTTTTAAACCATCCCAAAGCTAAGGATGGATGCAGAGAAGCAGCCAGCTCTATGAGGCTCTTCAAGCATTTTGAGATCCTGCACCCTGAGACTTGAGGCCTTTGCACCCAGCCTCACTCCATACATCTCTTCACTCGCGCACACACACAAAGACTATACATGCAATATCTATTGAGCTCCCATTACATACCAGCCACCATGTCGGGTATCTTTTGCATGATCTCTAATCCCTACAATGACAGTGCAAGGTGGCTATCACCATTTTTCAGCAATGAAAGGTCAGATTCAGAGAAGCAGCTTTAATGCATTGCTAGAAAGCTGTAAGGTTTCCAAGATAATGTTCTCTGTCCTATGTCAGTTCAGAAGACCTTCAACCCCAACCCCCATCCCCATCATGGTGTAATACAACCCCTCTCTCAGCCCCCTCCCCACAGACTAAGTGTCAGTGTCTTAGCTAATTGGCCCCACAGTCCCCCCTGCACAGATGGTCACATCTGATGAGTACATAGATAAGGATGGGATAGAAAGAGGAAGGGAAACACAGGAAAAATAGATTATCCCTTTTTCTTTTTGCTCTCATCTCAACTTCTGGCCAGGGCAGGCTTGATGAGTGTTCCCTGTGCAGTCACACAGGCCTTGAGCTCAGAAGGGCCCCATACGTGATTGAATGTTCTAGTGTCACTATCTTGAAATTTTGAATTTCCAAACAAATGGCCCTGCATTTTCATTTTTCACTGGCCCCCACATATAGCCCATCCTGCCACCTATCTATCTTTTCTCTCTTCAAACTGTAAGTTCCACTCCATATCTTCTTTAAAGATGCATTATATGTTTTATATCTGTTTCCCCAGAAGTCTATGTACTGGAGTCTATAAAGCAGGAGAAATATGTAAACCTTCTCTACTTCTGAGATGCTGCACGTCTTAGAGTTGACCTACTGCCTTTTTTCTTAAAACACACAGTCAAGGCTTACAGGTCAACTTCCATACAAGTACCACTAAACCAAGCTCATGCAATAGGCAAGGTGAATGCACTGTAAAACTAAAAGGCAGAATCTTCAATTCTGTTCAATAATTTGTCTAAAAAGAACATAAGCCTTATGAGCTCTTCTGGAAATCAGTTTTGAGGACTGTCAAAACTGGAAATCAGTTTTGAGGACTGACCCTTAGTTTAAACCACTGAATGGTGAGATCACACTTAGGTTGGATGTGGAGTGGAGAAAGGAAGCTATATGTATATAAAGGCCCATATCTGACCAGCTAACACAGAAGCAAAATTCTGCTTAAAAATGTAAAATACAATCGCTTGAGGACTGTGTTTGTGTAAGTGTAAAAGGTGTGTGATTATCCACTGTTTCTACTGCATGAGAAGCAAGACAAGGACCAGGAAGGTGCTTGTGCTCAACCCTGAGAAACACTCTGCAGATGAGAAAAGCCGTGGAAGTGTTGTTGAGGTCGCTGTGCCATCAAACCCCAGAGCCCTAACATGAAAGGTTTTTTATTAATATCTCTAAAGTTAGGTTATACCCAAACACCATTCTAAAATATTTATAAACTATAGCTATCTTACCAGGAATTGATAACAGAAATTAGTGAAAATAATAATTCTGATTATATAACTAATCAAAGATATAAATAATCAAAAATATAGTATTATCAATGAGAAAGTATTTCCTTAAATAAATTTTTATCTTTAAAATTTTACCTTGTAAGGTCTATTTTTTATTTTAAAATATTTACTACACTATGCTTATTAAATAACATATATAATATAATAGCATTTCTCCCATTTCTTCAAAAATAATCATTGACTAATGGCCATCTTATTTTCTATGGTCGTAACAGAGGGCTCATGGTAGCTTTATACCCTAAATGATCAAGTACAAAAAGTAAATGACCAGTTCTTGAGGAGCTAATCTTAAAATCATAAGTATTAAGTGAAAAGTAAAGAATACAAAATTTTAACATTACCAGTGTCTGTTTTTGCCATTTGATAAAAATTATCCATAACTCCCATGAACATTTTTAAACCATAACTTTAAATATAAGTGCTAGAGCCCTGGATGGTGGCTCAGTTGGATGGAGCATTATCCCTTATACCAAACAGTTGTGGGTTTGATTCCCAGTCAGAGCACATACCTAGATTGTGAGTTCGATCCCTGGTTAGGGCACATAGGAAGGCAACCAATCAATGTTTCTCTCTCTCTCTCTATCTCTCTCTCTCTCTCTCTCTCTCTCTCTCTCTCTCTCTCTCTCTCTCTCTCTCTCCTCTCTCTACATTCTCCTCTTGCTAAAATTATTAAGCATGTCCTGGGGTGAGGATTTAAAATAATAATAAGTGCTAGGGTAAAATTTCACTGAAATCTGTGTTTATTGTATTAAACTCCATGCTGGATTTTGTTTGATAAATCAACATGTACTTTATTGAATTTGACTTTCCTTCTGATGATAATAAATAATGTATGAGACATCCCTCTAAATCATTATCTTTTCCTCCTCCCTCTCTTCTTTACTTACTTTTGGAGAAAAAAAGTGTTAATATTCAGAATCTTGCTGAAATGGTTTGGTGTTTATCATTATCTGTTAGAACCATGCTTTTCTCCTGCCCCTGCAGATTCCACCATGTGAATTAATAATACAGTATTTCTGCTTTACACACACAAACTTTTGCTTCTACCTGAATAATTTTTTTTATTTTTTAACTCAACTCAGATTTATTCTAAT